TGAAATGCTTTTTTCCATCTGAAGGTTGGGCTTCAGCCACCGTGTTTGCTGTTACAGAATTCTCACTTAAGGATTCTTCTCCATGTCTTTCTTATGCCTCTGATGTTGTGTAGGGAAACATAAATTTTGCACACACATGTCCTGGAATGTTAACCATATTACTTTGTTTAAATTTAAAAACATTTCTTTGGATGTGAATTGCAAACTCCCTCTGCCTGCGAATGCTCTTGTGCGTGTTTGGTTTTGCTTCAAGACGGCTTCTGTTTGTACTTCAAACAGAAGTGCTCATGTGGACATGCAGAGGTACCTGTGGCCTGGTTATGAGGTGCAGCTTCTCGGGGGGCTGCAGAGACAACAGAACAGTGCCCAGTTCTGTGACACCCTGCTCCAAACTGAGGGTGAGAAAGAAGGAAAATTACAAAGTTCTTTGTGATGTAAGACAATGTACAAAATGCACAATTGAGTCATTCTTTCCCAACTTATTCTTTATGTAAAGGTATCTCGATCCCAACCCACAGCTGCGTCCTTGCAGCTCTCAGCCCGTACTTGTCTCAGAAGCTTTCAGCCTCCCCCTCACCTCCATCTGGACAGAGGCGTCAGCTCCAGCTCCAGACCGTGAAGGCCCAGACTCTGCTCAAGCTGGTTGGTCTGCTTTACTCTGGTGTGCTGGAGGTAAAAGGAAACAACGAGAAGAGTGATGTGCTGGCTGCAGCCCACCAGTTTGGAATCACAGACCTTGTGCGAGGACAGAAGGGTGGAGGCCCGAAAGAAGTCCAGGAAAGGAGGCAGAGTCTTGGGAATTGCAGAGAGAGACGGGGAAGCCTAAAAATACAGGAGACACATGTTGAGGCTGAGGTGGCGGGCACGGGAGAGGAAAATTCACCAGTCAGAAGGAAAATCAGCGTGTCTGTTGGCACACAGACGGCAACCATTCCTGAAAATTCAGTGGATTTTGGAAATCTGGAGCCTGCCTCCTCTGTAGCTCAAAGCCCGGATGTTTGCATCACTGTTCCACATCTCACCCCTCGCCCCGCCGTCGCCAGTGATGCAGAGTCTACATTTGGCCGAACTTGTGACAGTGTAACGAATCCCACATCCACTTCATCTTTTTCCATTGACACCGTGCCTTTTCCTACCATCCGTAATGATTCCAGCTCCTCGGAAGCTCAGGGCGACTGTTACCAAGAGTCATCCGAGTCTGGGGACAGCGTCACCTGGTTGTCCAGAGAAAGGGCAGGATTGGAGGATGGAAAATCAAACGGCACGGCAGCCGAGAGCGTAAATGCAGAGCAGCCACGACGGGTCTGCAGAGATGAGATGAACGAAAAAGAAAACTCGAGTGAGAAGAGTCCTGCACAATGCAGCGTGGCGGTGAAAGATCTAACCAAGATGAAGGAGATGATGGAAGACGCACAGATATCCATCAAGGT